CTTAGGAGCTGGGGATACAGCAGTGAAGACAACAGACAAAAAGCCTTACCTTCATAGTGCTTAAATTCCACGAGGTAGGAAGCAGACTATAAATAGTACCCTAATATGGGTATGAGAGAGTGTGTCAGAGTGTTAGTGTTAGGAAGGGAAATAGAAAGTTTATGTGTTGGTCAGGGACGGGGTTCACACCTGTAATCCTAGCACTCTCCGAGGCCGAGGCGGGAGGATCCCTTGAGCTCAGGAGTTTGAGGGTTGCTGTGAGCTATGATGCTACAGCACTCTACTCAGAGCCCTAAATGAATGAATGAATAAAAATAGTAAAACTAACCGAGCGTTGTGGTGGGCGCCTATATAGTGCCAGCTCCTCAGGATACTGAGGTAAGAAGAGTTCTTGAACCCAAGAGTTTGAGGTTGCTGTGGGCTATGACACCAGGGCACTCTCTACCCAGGGCGACAGAAGTGAGAGGAAGGAATGTAGAGAGGGAGGGAGGCAGGCAGGGAAGGAGAAGAAGGAAGGGTGGATGTGTGTATGGGATAGGTTTGCAATTTTATTTGGTAAGGTCAAAGGAGTGTTTCAGAGAAGATAACATCTGGATGAAATACTGAAGTGAAAGAAAATAGTATGTTATGTCTTTTAACTGTCTTTCTCGGTTACATATGCAAAGATTCTAGTTATTTATGGGGAGTTTGTCACATTCTGACCTACCCACAGCTCAAGAAGAAATAATGAAAGCTTCTCCAGATAATGTGGGAAGTGGAAAGACAGGATCCCAGGCCATTAAAAAACCAAGCAGAAGATAACAGTAATTTCCCCCTGTCCTTAGATGTGTAGTTCCAGGAGAAATGGTTAAAAAAAATTTTTTTTAAAAAGTACCCAAACCTGGCTCAGCGCCTATAGCTCAACCGGCTAAGGCGCCAGCAACGTACACCTAAGGTGGCAGGTTCGAATCCCCAGCCCGGACCCGCCAAACAACAATGACGGCTGCAACCAAAAAATAGCCGGGCGTTGTGGCGAGCGCC